TAAATGCTTAAGATTCCTTGTTCAGGACCCTAGCACTTATGGGAAAAAATATGCCGGAGTTGTTCTTTATCATGCCTCCTTTGCCTACTACTTCACCTTTTTTCACCAACTTCCTATTTCTTCACCTGCTACCTTCTTCTGCCCCTTTGATGCCAACAAAGGACCTGCTTGGCTACAAACATTCTTAGCTGATAAAGAGCGCTCTTCCCCACCCCATAAAGGCGTATGGGCTTTTATTTTTCTACCAAGAGAGCTGTTCATTGGCACTTTAAACCCTCGAGCTTATAAGTGTATAGCTGAGGTGTACTGTCCTTCTCAATTTGCCAGGCAATTTGGGTTAACTCAGGGGATTCCCATTCCACTCTGCAGTCTCTCGAATGTCCATCTTACAATCAGAGACCTGAGAATACCCAAATCAAACTAGAAGAAGCAACATTCAAATTGTAGAAAGAAATGAGCGAGTTCAAATTTATCTCTTTTCTCCCTTCTGCCCTGGCTCTAAAAAGATTTCAAAACTGGTGGACAGCCAATATGGAAGTGCGCCTATCCGTATACCCTCATGACTTACTGATAGGGTTAGGAGTGCCTTCGAAGGCCAAATCAACAACAGTTAAGAGCATCTTCTCTCTTTCCACAGCTGCCAAAACTGTTCCTGTAGCCTCATCCTCTCCTGCTAGAGTTACCAGAGCTGCTTCAAAGAGGGGTAAGTATTTTCAGGTTTCCCCTTAGACTCTTTTGTTTGTTTTCTTTACATTCATACCTCTTGGTGCAGCGTCTCCACAAGAAGAATCTCCTAAGAAGGCTAAAATCCTAGCTACTCTCAAGGACAAACAAAAGCAGAAAAAGAAAAGGAAGCTGATACTCACCCCTGAGGAATCCGAATCCCAGGTTGAAGAATAAGAGGTTGAGAAAGAACAGGAAGTGCCATTACCGAGGAGAAAAAGGGAACAGATGATTGTCTCTCTTTCGATTAAAGATCCCACTCATGAGACACCAGTACAAAACTATCTCTCATTCTGAGTTGGTCGAAGACCCTGTTCATGAAGCAGCTGCTAAGACAGTAGAACAAGAGCATTCTAAGGCCATAATTATCTTTGAGAGAGCTGAGAAGAGACATCAGCAGCAATTCTTAAGAGATGAAGCAGCTGCTGCTGATGCGATCCAAAGGGACACTAAAAGAAGGCAATATATTGTTGAGCACTATTCCCTTCGAAGTTCTCCCATTGTTGTTATCACTTCTGAAACAAGTAATTTCTTTCATGCTTCTACTGTTTCTTCCTTGTCAAATTTTTGATATTGAAACTTGACATTACTCTGCATCTCTTCTTTTGCAGCAACAACTACTGAGCCTATTCTTCCAGTAAGGACTCCCTCCCGAGGCCAAGTATTCCTGCATCTCTTTCCTTTGGATTAAATCCGCATCTTCCTTACTTATTTTTGGATCTACCTCAATTCAGTTCTCTTTCGAGCCTTGTTCTTCCCCTTCCTCCTAAGGAAATTCCAACTGCTGCTCCATCTCTGATGGCAGCTGATTCCCCTACAGAGGGTGCTGGCAGCTCTCCGACCCATGGTTTATTACCTTTACCTACTTTCAGCCCTTCTTCCCTTGACCTATTGGTGGCTAGGACCATAGAGACTGTTGAAGATGTTCCACTCATTTCTTCTATCCCTATGCAGTCCTTTGTGCCTTCCACCACTGCTCTTTCTGTACCTCTCATGTCCACGGATGAGGTAGATATCTTCGAAGCAAGACTAGCCAGTCTCTTCGACATGTCCTCTACCTCTCCAATAGCTAATGATGAGACTGAGCCATTAGTTATGGTTGATTCTTTGTTGGAAATTCTTGAGAGCTCCTCTTATTCCAGTAGTAAGCCTTCTGTACCTCTGGTGGACTTAGACGACTGTCTGGAGTTATTGACATCTTTTTCAAGGATTCCTTTCGAGGCTTTACAAAAGCCTATAATAAGAAATGGCTTCCTCCAATGCTGCAAAGTTATTGAGCAATCCAATATAACTGCCTCAAGTCATCTATCTCAGGCAACAGCTACTATTGACTTCTACATCAACATTTGTCATGCTGCCAAGGCTACAGAAGAGAAATTAGTAAGAGACCAGAGCTTTGTTTCCACGGTACATGCTGAAGTCTCAGGACTAAAGAAACAACATTCCTCTGTCTCCCATTTTCGAACTCAACTACTAGAGAGGAAAACTCGACTTGAGGAGGAGCTATCTGCAGTGAACCAGGCCTTAACTCGAACCGACACTAAACTGCAGATCACCAACCAAGGACTGGCCGATCAAAAGCAAGAAATGACCATGGTCATCCAGTTGTTTTCTTCTTTTAAAAATAGGAAGTTTGTTGTAAAAGAACAATTAAGGCATTGTAATAATTTCTGGGCCAATTTATGAAAGAATGTATTTAACTCTTTATGAAAAAACAAATTCTGATTTATCATTTGAGTACTTTTGTGCTCTCTTGCTTGACATTTATTCTATTCCTCGTGTTTCCAAAACATCTATCTCAGGCAACAGCTACTATTGACTTCTACATCAACATTTGTCATGCTGCCAAGGCTACAGAGGAGAAATTAGTAAGAGACCAGAGCTTTGTTTCCACGGTACATGCTGAAGTCTCAGGACTAAAGAAACAACATTCCTCTGTCTCCCATTTTCGAACTCAACTACTAGAGAGGAAAACTCGACTTGAGGAGGAGCTATCTGCAGTGAACCAGGCCTTAACTCGAACCGACACTAAACTGCAGATCACCAACCAAGGACTGGCCGATCAAAAGCAAGAAATGACCATGGTCATCCAGTTGTTTTCTTCTTTTAAAAATAGGAAGTTTGTTGTAAAAGAACAATTAAGGCATTGTAATAATTTCTGGGCCAATTTATGAAAGAATGTATTTAACTCTTTATGAAAAAACAAATTCTGATTTATCATTTGAGTACTTTTGTGTTCTCTTGCTTGACATTTATTCTATTCCTCGTGTTTCCCAAATAGTTAGAAAATAAGGTTTCAAATGTTTGCCATTAATCTTTTTGAGATGTATGTATCCATTCAAATTTCTCAAATGGTATGCTCCGAAAGGCAAGACTCTATGAATTTGACATGGTCCTTCCTAGTTAGGTGACCATTTACCAAACTTATGGCTTTTAGTTCCTATTGGGAGTATTGTCTTCCATACCAAATCATCTTCATCGAAGCCAATGTGTTTGACTTTCTTATTGTAATTTTTGGCTGCTTTCTTCTTTTGAAAGAGAATACTATTTAATGCTAGAATTCTGACTTCATCTATTCCTTCTAATTCCAAACACATACTCTGATGGTATTGCTTAGGATCTAGCTGGTCTTGGCATCTTACCCTAAAAAACTTAACATTAATTTTCACAGGCAACACAACATCATGCCCATACACCAAGACATAAGGAATAACTCCTGTGCTTGACCTTGGGAAGTTCTATAAGCCCACAATACATCCAACAATAAGTTATGCCAATCCCTAGGATTATCTTCCACAACCTTTTGTATTCATTTCTTCAAGGACTTATTGGATGATTCAGCTTAGCCATTGGCTTGTGCATAATAGGGGGTGGAATTAACAAGGCTAATTCTAAACTCTGTCACAAAAGACTTCACCATTTTCCTATCGAACACAGTCCCATTATCAACAGTTATAGTTTGTGGGATGCCAAACCTATGTCCATTCATCTCTCTTTCATTCATTTCTACTTTGTCCTTACTCGGTTTACCGAAAAGCGCAACATTTGACAAAATGCGAGCCTCGGATCATCGCAGAAATCTCTTTTCAAAAATATTTTGAAAGAGAGGGTTTTAAGATCTAAAAACCATTCAAAATAGTTTTAGTCCAAAAACGGGGTGTGAGGTTAGGATTTGACTCTCCTTTTGCCGAAGAAATCGAACCTTTGCACTGCATAACTTTCACCACCGAGTAAACAATCAGTAGCACCCAAGTCTTAAGGGCGGTCAAAAATAGGGTGTCTACACTTATATTTGCATGTCAATAATAATGACATTACCGTTACATTTAAATTTTTCATAGATAATATGGTTTATAGTAGTCTCTTCATTTTCAATCAAAACAACCATTATTATTTTCATAATTTTTAAAATGTCATTGACATTTCGCTCTAATAATATTTTTGTAATTCTTTTTATTTAAAATATTTTCTTTATATTTGTCAAAAAAAAATTTCACAAAATCTAGGGGCACGTGACCCCCCTGGTCCTTACGTGGCTCCTCCACTGGTGGTGTTGGCGGTTCGATGGTGCGATGATGGTGGAGAAGTTTGCGGGTTGGTAGTTCGGGTGGTGATAGTATGGGTTAAAACTGTGGCTATGGAGGTTGGGAGAAGGAGGAAGAACAGAGATAAAGAAGAAGAAAAAGAGTTTTGAGAATGAGAGGCGGAGAGAAAGAGAGAGAAAGATGAAATGGAAAGAGAGAGAGAGAGATATATGAAATTGGAAGAGAAGCAAAATATGAAGAAATGTGAGGAAAAGTTAAGCTCAATTTATGGGAAAAATGAAAAAGAGTAAAAGAAGATAAAAATGAAAAGAAATTTAAAAAAAGGATGAAAGGAAATGGAACACTTGGTGGTATGACATGTACATGTGGACCACATTTTTTTTTGATATAGCAAATGATTGCACGTGAAAGGTGAGAAGCGAGAAAACGTGGAGAGTAAATCCATAATTTTTTATTAGGTTAAAATGTTATCCTTTCGTGTAATTTGGTTAAAAAAAATATCAAAAGATTCAAAAATTAATATTGAGTAATAATATAAAATCAAAAATATTTTATTTTATTTTATTTTGAATAAATTTTTAGTATAAAAATATATAGATTATTAAATTCAAAATAATATAAATAAATAAATAAATAATTTAAAAAAAATTATTATTTTTATTATATAAAAATACGGGTATTTCAGTATGTACATATCGTCTGTATTAGTTTAGGTCAGTTTTGGAAACACATTGAACGCGGACGCGAAACGGCTTGCTTTTTTCGCCAAGACTGATTTGGGATTGTGGATATAAGCCAAAGGTGAAATTACGGAACTACTCTCCATGTTGTCTCGGGTTCCATTTCATTCCCGCCGCTTGACTCACTGCTTCTCTCCGCCCCGCTGCGACGCTGCTGTGGGATCGCCTCGCCAAAGCGACGTCGCAATCGTCGGCCGTCGATAACGCCTCCGGCGCCACTCTTCCAGGTCAGCTTCATCGGTGTCTTCGCAGAATCAGGTATCCAGATTTTTCACTTTCCTGACGAATTTGTAGCAAATACACCAACCTGTTCTTCATGCGTGTTTGCTGAGTCGTCTATTTTTGCGTTTTTGCCTTCGATTTGTCGATCGTGTACGTGTTTTATGTTTGGGGAGTGTTATGGTGCACAGATTTCGGTCTGGCCCTGTTTTTCATATGTCGATGCTCCCTGTGTCGGTTGTCCTGTAGAATTGATAACAAAAGTGAGTTAAGCTGTTGCTGGCCAAGAAGAAAAAGCAGCAGAACGATGATACACCAGACCAGGCCTCCGTTATTACACTCTGCTGCAGTGCCACTTCCAAATTGTCATGGCTACCATGTTTGATGTCAACTATGAATTATTTACACATTTATTTCTATCTTCACATGTCTGGACCTATGGAACGATGAGGATGATATATGTTTGGACATGGGTTAAAAAATATTTTGTAGATTGGGTAGGGATATTTTAATCAATTTACATTTAGAATATTAATCAAAAAAAGTAATGTTTTTATCAACTTTTCAAATGAATTTTTAAAAAAATTAAAAATTTAAAAATATTTTTTTATCATCTTTTCATAATAACCCTTAATCGTACTAAAGGGAGATGAGTATAAGAATATCGAGAGTGTAAAGTTAATTATATATATATTTTTCCAAATTTTAAAAAAAGAAAGTAAAATTTGAGATATATTTTTATGATAAGTGTCAGAAGAAGAATAAAGGGACAGGATGTAAAGACAGACAAGTGGGACACAAGATCCAACCTCTCTTCTCTCTCCTAATCCAAGGAAAAAGACAAAGAAGAAGAAGAAGAAGAAGAAGAAGAAGAGTGGCTTTGGCCTTGGTTTCTCAGTCTTTTGGGCTCTATTCATATATAGTTTCTGTTAATCGATTGGTTGTTTCAACCAATTAATCGATTCCTCTCTATCCTCCAAGTAAGTCTTCAACTACTGATTAGTATTAGGGTTTTCAGTCTTGTTTGAATTTGAATATAATTCCATTTGTTGTTCCAAAACTTTTCAAAATTAGTATCTGTTTGATTTGGAGAGAATGAGGAAACAGAAACAAAATGCTTCAATGTGATAAAATATGGATTTGAAGAGTTTTTATTTTTTATTTTTATATATATACTTAAATTTGTAACCCTAGACTCATTTGTAACCCTAGACTCAACCCAGTGGGTATTTAAATGTTTGGAAATTGAAATTGTTTTTGGTAGATGAGTCGTATGAGTTGTAGTTTTGGTTTGGGTTTGAGTTTGAAACTGTTTTTGGTTTGAGTTTGTATAAGAGAGGGTTTGGGTGAGATTAATGTATACATATATTTGGTATCATTAGTTCTTGGTACAGATCTATGAAAATTTCTTTGGCAATGTGCGATGGGTCATATCATATCTATGAATTTTTATGGATATGTGCGATTGGTTCTTGTGGTTGTTGGTCGAATTTTTTACTGTGATTTTTCTTGTTGGTTGCTTGAGAAACATATCAAATAGGTTATGGTGGGCTTTGATTGAGTGGTGGTGGTACTGTTGTTAATCTATGTACTGTTGCTAATCTTTGGGGTTTGTAAGGACAGTGGGTTTGGGGAAGAAGAAAGGTAGTGTTTGGATATTGAGATATTAGTTAACACGGAGTTTTGTTTGGCTGGGGAGATAAGAATAGATCAAATGGGGGAGGTTAGTGTAATTTCAAAAACCTCAAGGGAGGTTTGTGTAATTAGCCCTTTCTAAATTGACCGTGAGCTTTAAATCTACATTCTTGTATCTGGAAACTAGAATCATTGAGAAAAGTTATTTAAGAAAGAACGAACAAATTCGTGAAGTACTACTATTGATTATTGATTATGTAGGACTGCTATTTGTAAATGACATATAAATTGATCTTCTGGTTTCTCTTTTAAGTTTACATATTTCTTTTCTTGTTTTCCTTCTTTTTGGTTAACTGTAAAGTGAAGAATTTTATTTACGAGGAAATTACATTTTTGAAAAAACATAACATCGTATGTTTTGTTGATAAATGTAAGATACAAAGATGTTTATATTAGAGTATGTAGTTGTACCATTTTGTCTGATGACTAAATGATGCTTCATCTTGGTGCTCCTATTTGATTTGCAATGAATGTGAAACTTTTGCTGCCATTATCATATTTTCCCTTAATTTGATATCTTGTATTTATAAGTACTGATGAGACATGATACAAATCTGAATCTTTTATTACTTTTATGATATATTGATATTGAAGTTACTTTCTCTATTCATTGTTTTCATTTCAGCTATATATAATAAATTGGATCATTTGAGAAATCCATATATTCATTACAATGTCGATGGCAAATTCTTTAAAGAAGTTAGTGTCATGTATCATACTTGATTTGGATGGTACACTTCTTAACACAGGTATATTTGTGTTCTTGAATTAATTCTTAATTTGGTATGTTTCTTCATCCTGTCTTGCATAGTTGCATGTGATTGTTCCCATAAAATCCATTGTGTAGCCAACATATTTCAACTGTTCCATGAACATATTGGTTTATAGAGTGGAAACCATGGAAAGTGAATGTTCATTCATGGTGTCTTCATTGATACAGTTTCCAAAGTTCTTCTTACTGTACCTTAAAAGGATTGCCACTCTATGGATTTGTGAGTGAGTTGCTATCTTTTTCAGCATTACTTCTTTTATCCCAGCTAAACAATCTCAAATTTGGAGATTTTTTCTACTGGGCTTCAGCCTCTGCATATGGGCTACATATTCAACACAAAAATGAATCGTGCTTCTTGATCCTGTTTGGTTCAACCGTCATTTCTCTTAAGTTAGATTACAAAACTAAACATCCCACATTGCCATTACTACATTACCTTTTCCAATTGTGACCTAATTTCTATTTTTTGACAGATGGCATAGTGAGTGAAGTTTTAAAAGTTTACTTGGTTAAGCATGGAAAGCAATGGGATGGGAGGGAAGCTCATAAAATAGTGGGAAAGACACCTTTGGAAGCTGCAGCTGTTATTGTGGAAGATTATGGGCTTCCCTTATCAATCGATGAATTTGTCTCAGAAATTACCCCAATGTTCTCTGCTCAGTAATATACTGTACTCTGACTTTCATTTCCTAGCCGAAAAAAATGATTCGCACTTGGGACATGTTACAAATGTTTCTTTAGACAGACTCATGTCATTTTTTTATTACCTTATACTATAGTATGCAGTTTTATGTGTGAATGTATGTGTAATGTTTTGTAAACTGTACATGGTTTCCAATTTTGCTCCAGAGTTTTGTGTGTGCGTGTGTTGGAGTTTAGAATTTGTATTGCACTGTATTGAATCTGCTATTACAATTATCACTGTAGATGGTGCAGTATCAAAGCTCTTCCAGGTGCAAACCGGTTAATCAACCATTTGAGGGGTCATGATGTGCGAATGGCATTGGCTTCAAATTCTCCCAGGGAAGACATTGAAACCAAAATCTCTTATCATCCAGGTAGGTTTGTTTTATTTGTTTTCAACCCTAAACTATGGGTTTTTCTTTTCTTTTCTTTTTTTTGTTGTTCTATGTTTCTCAGAAGTGAACTTATGTGCTCATTATTTCCTTTTATAGGCTGGAAAGAATCCTTCTCTGTCATTATTGGTGGTGATGAAGTGACGGCAGGAAAACCATCTCCAGAAATGTGAGATGCAACTCCATGAGAGTTTTACCTTTCTTATCCAGATACACATGCATAAGTTTCTCCAAAAATCTAACCTTGTGCATTTTATTGTTGAAGATTCCTTGAAGCAGCTAAGAAGCTAAATATTGATCCTTCGAAGTGCCTAGTCGTTGAAGATTCAATGTAAGTGACTTTGGTTCAAGGTGAAATTGGATCTGTTTTTCAAGTAAATTGTCCTGCCCAAAGATTGTCTATATATAATATTTATCTGTTGAATGATATCCTCTTTCCTCATAAATGTCTTTGAAAGTTGTGATTAGTGAATGCTTTCCGTAAGATTTGTGTGGAAGAAAATAGTTTGGATACCTGATGTATGCCATATTCTTATGCTGCTGTTTGACATCTTAACTGTAAACTATTTCTTGTAAGAAGTCGACTAGATATTTAGTTTTGAGTTTATTTTAGATGTTCAGAACATGTGTTGTTAGTTAATATGCTTTTCTTCTGTAAATGTGAAGGACAATTTGCCTAGGTTGCATTCACATAGACAGAGATCTATTTACTTTAATTGTATTAGTGCTGCTGATAAGCAGTCGTGTTGATTAATTACTCACTGAAACATATTTGAAGAACAAATCACAAGTATCACTTAACTTCCTGAAACTACTCTTCCTCCGTAAGTGTGCTAATGATACACATGGAAAAGCCTAACAGCAATAAAATGCAATCAAGGATAAAAGAATTTATTGGAGTCAAAACAAGCTTGGCACTTGGGCTGATTTGAGGCTGGCATCATGCTTAGTTGTAGTTTTATTATTGTTGTTTGTGATACAAATTAGTGAAGAACTAATGAAATGGAGAGATAAATAGAAATGTGCCCAAGTGTTCTGGATGTACAAAACAATACAAGAATAAGAGAACTTTCCCTTATTCAACTACAAAAACAAGGGTGATTGCTGAAAGAGAGGGTCCCCAAACTAAATGTTAAGCCCTGGCTACCTGAAAGGCCTCATTGGTTGCTAGTCTATTTAGTTCTTAGATACGAGAAATTACAAAAAAAGATGAGCAATCGCCCTTAATTCTTCTTCTTCTTCTTCTTCTTCTTCTTCTTCGTTTTTTTTTTTTTTGGGTGGCATTGAAGTTTTCTATAAAACAGGGGACATTTATGCAACTTCATTGTCTATGCAGCGGATGTGTAACCTCTTAATGAAATGATACAATCAACTGAGTGAAATGTTTCATTGCAGCTTCAAAAGAAATTGATGCCTTCAGCTTATTTGTTTCTTTTAGTAATAGTTTCATTTCTTTTCTAAGTCAAAAATCAAGATTTTCATGTTCTCCCTGTGGGACATGGTATTAGAATGCTTTCATAGTTGATGAAGGAAGAAACACCATTTCTGTTGTTTATGAATAACTGCTTTTGTGACATGTCAGACCAGGTGTGATGGCTGGTAAGGCTGCCGGAATGGAAGTTGTTGCTGTTCCATCTTTACCAAAACTATCCCATCTTTATACTTCGGCAGATGAGGTGATAAACTCTCTTCTTGATTTGCGACCAGAAAGATGGGGCCTATCACCATTTGAAGATTGTAAACCTCTCTCACTGTTTTGTTCAAATTACAATAAAGGTTGTGTCTACTCCAGTTAATTTTATGAAGTCAATCGATCTGTTATTGCAGGGATACAGGGTACTTTACCAATAAAACCTTGGTATTTTGGTGGTCCGGTTGTTAAAGGTTTTGGTCGTGGTTCAAAGGTGCTTGGAATCCCTACAGGTGCCCAAAATTTTTTCTCCCCTGGTCAAACTAAATAGAGTTTTAATGAGAATATTGAACTCTGGATGTCGTAGGCATGAAATTACAACGCTTTTTGACTTGCAGCTTACTTATTTTATATTTGTGTGTAAAACTATTGTTTCTTGTCCAGATTTAACTCATTTGTTGTTTGTTTTGTGGTTGATCATGATGTGACATTGTGGTCTCTCTTTGATTGTGTGGTTTGAGGGGAAAAATTAGTGATTTAGTTGTGTGCATTTTGTCCTTTCATTTCATTATTGAGTTAATCTAATAGGATCACTTGTTCTTTCAGCTAATCTATCAACCAAAGGCTACTCAACTGTCCTTTCAGAACATCCCTCGGGGGTTTACTTTGGTTGGGCTGGATTATCAACACGAGGCGTTTACAAGATGGTCATGAGTATTGGTTGGAATCCCTACTTCAACAATGCTGAGAAGACCATGGTGAGTACAATGTGGATCAGTGGTGGTGAGCTTTCCTTTTCAGTCTCTAATCTTCATTGTAATACAGGAACCATGGTTGCTTTATGACTTTGACGAGGATTTCTATGGCGAGGAATTGCGTCTTGCCATTGTTGGATACATACGGCCCGAGGTATTATAAAACTGTGATTATTGTTTTATCAATTTAAGAGTGAGTTTGGCAATTGCTTTTTTAGCAACTGTTTTTTCGTGTTCTGTGATTTTTTTTTTTTTTTAAAAAAACTTTTCACTTCTAGGTAGAACCTATTCAATGGAGCTGGAAAAAAAAATAAAAATAAAATAAAAATCCATTAAACAAATAAAAATAAAAACATCTAAAAAGTTGACTTTTTTTTGTATTTTTTTTTTTTCAAAAAAAACTTCTTAGTTTCTTTTGGACTAAATGGACTTGAAAAGTAAAATTTTGACGAAAGTTAAAAAAAAAAATTCATTATAGACAAAAAAAAGTAGAAAAAAATTTCCAACTTTTTTAGCTCTTGCAAAACAAAGTACAAGTATCATTGTTTCCCTGCCCCGGCATTTTTGACAGTATGTATTGGAACATGATAGGCCAATTTCTCATCTCTCGAGGGCTTGATAGAGAGGATTCATGAAGATAGGCGAATTGCAGAGACGGCCCTTGAACTTCCCCTGTACTCAAAGTACCAGGACGGCCCATATTTGAAAGGATCGTTGCACGAGGATGGCAGTCATCCTCAGCTTCTGCAAAACTGATTTGTGGATCTCATTGTCATTACATTGGTTATATTCTTTTAGTTTTAATATATACGACTCCATGAACTTCAATGGATGTGATAAAACTATGTTGAAGGTCAATTATTGGATCAATTGTGTATTTTGACTGATTGTTGTGATTAAATGAAGTAAAATAACATATTCGACAAGTGCAAAATAATATATTTTTTTTTGGGATAAAAATATCTACTGAATTGTATGATGACAATCAATCTACTTAATGAGTGCAGAATAATTTGAATTTTAAAGTTTATCAGTAAATGTTGGCAGTTGGATTGAACTCCAGCTTTTAGCAAAATAGCCATAAAAAAAAAACACGCTAAGTGCACTGTCTATTGCGCTTAATTTTTGGTATGATATTATTCATTTTGGCACAATAGGAGCATCGTGTTAAAACGCGATTATTGTTTGATCATTTATTTTTTAGAGTCATACTATATTGTCCTAAATATTGTCATGTCATGTATTAATATAAAAATAAAATAAAGATTTTTTCTTTAAAAAAAATGCTAACAATCATGTTAAAATAATCTAAATTAAAACACAATTTGAAGACGTTTCATAAAAAAATACTGATGCTCAATTTAAATTAAACTAATGAATTGAAGTTTAATGTTAAAATCTTAAAAGAGATTCATTGTGCAATATTTTGTTAGCACCTCTAATAGGTATTTAACAAAGGAGAGGTCATGTATATTATTATTTTTTTTTAAAATAAAAGAGGTTAGTGTCAGGGGCGGACCTACGTCTAATGTATTGGGGTCAGTTGACACCAGTGATTTTTGTAAAGTATATATTGGACTTTAACAAGAAGTTTGGGGTTTTTATAAATTGACTCAAACGAAACGATATATTAATTTTGATAAATTTTTATTTGTTCATGAATTGACCCCAGTAAATTACTTGTAATTAGTTTTGTCAATGTAATTGACAATATATGAAATTTAGAAAGTTTCTTGTAAATGTTAATGTCATATATTTGAATATTATATATTTATTTTTATTAAATTTATTAACCATGAGTATACTACTTCAAATAAAAAATAAATAATAAAAATAATAATAATAAATGAGACATCAGATATCCTTAGCATGACCGATTAAAAAAAATAAAAAATAAAAATAGGACACTTCTATTAATATGTTCTATTGCGTGACTATGTCGAACACGTATCAAATACTAATACATGATCTATGGAGGAATGTTAATGCGCCGTATTTGTAGGCTATGTGAAATTTAACAACAAGTTTGGAGTTTTTATAAATTGACTCAAATGAAACGATATATTAATTTTGATAAATTTTTATTTGTTTATAAATTGACCCCAGTAAATTACTTGTAATTAGTTTTGTCAATGTAGTTGACAATATATGAAATTTAGAAAGTTTCTTGTAAATGTTAATGTCATATATTTGAATATTATATATTTATTTTTATTAAATTTATTAACCATGAGTATACTACTTCAAATAAAAAATAAATAATAAAAATAATAATAATAAATGAGACATCAGATATCCTTAGCATGACCGATTAAAAAAAATAAAAAATAAAAATAGGACACTTCTATTAATATGTCCTATTGCGTGACTGTGTTGAACACGTATCAAATACTAATACATGATCTATGGAGGAATGTTAATGCGTCATATTTGTAGGCTATGTGAAATCTAATAATTGATCTTGCTGAACAAAATTTCTGACCACACTAGTGTAATCTCACAAAATCCCAAGAAAAGTCTTTGTAAATGTTAGACGTTTGTGTAATTAACCCTATATAATTGTTTGCACTCATTTTTGTTGGTTTGTCTGTCTGACAGGAAATGAGAGGCAAGATCATGACATGTGGCATTGAAGTCCAAGTGTGATTGACTTATTGAGTCAATGTGGTGCAACTTGTAGTGGTTTTATTGTGAATGAAGTTAGTGGAGCAGTTGTTGGATTGGTAAGCTAATTTTTAGAAAGCATTTGTGCTCAAGAATGGCAGTTTGGTCTGTCAATCATGCTTAATAATTAAAAGGGGACACACGACAATGTGGCTGGGAGTTTGCTTGTGTTTGGAAAGTGAGATGTATTGAAGATGGAAGACTTTAGAGAGGCTGAGACAGTTACAGCAGTTAAGAGAAGGTGACCCGCAAATTCTAAAGAAAATGAGGTCATGGGTCAGAGAAGGAATGAGAAGTATGAAGGCTACCAAGTTTGCAGAGAGAAGAAGTCATCAACAACAACAAACACTTATTTTAGCTTAGTTCTGTGTTAGGAGTAGTTGCTTGTATTTAGGAGTAACCTCAGTAAAATCTTATAGTTTATTATCTTGTGAACCTAAATAGTTTTATTTAAGTTTATCTTTGTTCACATCCTTTTTGTAACTCTGATTATTTCAAAAAAGTCCTTGTAGGCATTGAATCAATTACATAATTGCTTCATCTTTTATTCAATTATTTGTTTAGATTGTTGTTCAATTCCTATCGATCGGGGATTAACAGAATTTTTACTAACAATAATATAGTTTATGGGCGGACCGAGTAAGACTAGACCGGGCTTGAACGGTTCCTAAGCCCAGCCCATATCAATATTGGGCTAAAATTTTTGTCCAACTCAACCTTATACCCCAGAAAGTCCATAACACTACCTCCTCTTGCTTTGTTGGCTTTGGGCGCTAAAATAGAGCCATTCACAAATAAGAGAGAGAGAGAGAGAGAGAGAGAGAGAGAGCTGAGTGAGTCTTATTCAGTCAGAGTCCCTAACAATGGGGGAAGAGGAAGCAGAGCAGAAGCAGAAGCAGCAATCCAATTCGGAAATGGAAGTGGAAGAAATAACAGCAAAAGAATCAAGAGAGCAAGTAGTAGAGGACTACTCTTGGCCTGTGATTCGCTTCGATGTTCCTCCTGTCAGAACCTACCACTTCTGCTACCAGTTCAGGAACACCTCCTCAAACTCTAACAATTTCCCCTATGGAATCAAATGGTTTGCTTCCTCTCTCTCTCTCTCTATATATATATATATATATGCTTCCCTCTAACATTCTCTTTCTAGGTCTCCCGACGGTTCCTGTTTTCTTACATGCACCGACGAAAAGTCCCTTCGTGTATTCCCCTTGTAAGTTCTCTCTCTCTCTCTCTCTCTACACTTCTCCTTCTTCTTCCTAGACCTATGCACACCTTCAGATATGCACCCTATCACAAAAATATGTAATTTTATCACAAAATTTCGTAACATTAATCGCAAAATACAATTTTTAACCTCACTACAAATTGGCATAACAAAATGTCCAAAAAAATTTTGTGGCTTGGTTTTGCCATTTTTTTGTTATGCCAATTTCCGGTGAGATTATGTATTTTGCGGTTCATGGTATAAAATTTTATGGTAAAATTACACATTTTGTTATAGAGGGGTGCATACCATAGCATTTCTCATATATGTAGGGTAAATTACACTCATTTGGAGAAAATACAGTTGGTCCCATACTTTGAACATAATTACATTGTTCTTGTAACTTTTAGTGCAGCTAAAACAATGGAAACTAATGATGGTAGATAGACACTGAAATAATTGAAGATAATTATACATTTTAGTGAAAATAGATGAATATATCAATTTTTTATTCATTCATATTACTAACGAATTATCAATGAATTATTGACAAAAAATTGACCTAACTATATTGTGAATTAAAATCTCAAGTGAGACAAGTGTGATTATGTCAAAACTGTGGGGCTAACCTTATATATACAAACACACAAACATAGTACTAGTGATGACAAGTTTGTTGCATTGTAGTTTTTAATCTTTTTATTTTGTTGATTTGGTCCCTTAAGTACAAAATGTGAGAAAATAGTCCCAAATCCCAATGCTCAGTTGTCTAAATTGATTAATGGGAGCATGGTACTTTCAGAACTTTATCCAAAAAAGATTTTTTTTTATAGAAAAATTAGGGACTAAAAGGCAACAAAACACAAATTTTGAGACGTGTGTATTTGGTCATTTTGATTTCTTGAAGTCTTTGTGTAAAATTACAAAAATACCGTAGTTTCCATTGATCAATTTTGACTATGTGAGGACTAGGGACCATTTAAACTCACATTTGGTAGTTGGAGGTCGAAATTGACAAAATTAAAATATTAGAAACTAAAGTGCAACAAAATACATACTTTGTGTGTGTATATATATATATATTCATAGTGATGCTATGATGATCAGGTTGTGGATTCGATGGGATGTGTGTCACTCACATGAAAGAGTTGAGGTCCATAAACCAATGCTTTGACAACACATGAGATGATATCCAAAATTTAGTATTCAAATTTGGCCACTACTTATGTGTGGTACGCTAGAAATATAACTAGTAAATCTGATCCCGATGAGAGTCTTGTTATCTGAATTTCACCTCAAATTGGTCTGAAGTTTATAAAATTCATTGAATGAAGATGACATCGAGAATCGAGTCAATGGCTATTGGTATTGGGAATTATTGGATAAATTTTTCAATATCAGTAATGGGTTTTAATCCTTGCAAAAACGAGGCTAGCTAAAAGATCCAAATAGCAGGGTTTTGTCATCTCAATATATGCATATATATATATATATATTCTTGGTGAAAAAATGTGAAAATTTGAGTTTAGATGAGTCGATTCGGTTGATAAGTTCCCTTTTGAAGGTTAGCTTTATAAACTGTACTGATGCATTTCATCTGTAATCTTGAATTTCAAGTTTAGAGATAATTTGATTTGTATGCTTTGGTCATAGTTGGGACGATGTTTGTTGAGTTAATTCAAGTAGAGTTTGTGCCATGGCTTTGGTAATGATGCAGGCAGCTGAATAATGTGATAAGATCACTCTAATCTGACAATTAGGAACGGTGCTTCTTGGACTTCTGTTGCAACTTGGTATTTTAATTGATTTATGGCATGTAATATATCTGATGTCTTTATAATTTGTTTCTCTTTAGACCAGATGCTGGAAGTCTCTATCATGAAAATTCTTGTTCTTTTGCTGCTGATGTAGGTAAGCTTGTTTAAGTCTATTCTTGATTTTAGAGTGAAAACTTTTGTCAATAAATTGATACCAAATGCCATTCTTAATGGTTTTGGTACTACAGCATTTTCCTCACTGTTGTCATTGTTTTTCATGATGTTGCTTTATTACTAAGCTAAATTTAGGCAGGTTCTGTGTATAAGGTACTTTAAACTCTTATGGGTTTTATTTTTATTTTTCCATTATACTTGTCCTATGGTTTTAAAACAGCTGCAGATTCTTATACTGCAAATCTTGTTGTGAATGAGGGGGAGCCTGTTTATGATTTCTGCTGGTACCCATATATGTCTGCTTCAGGTTCATCTCTTACCTTGCTTGTTAAGGGAGTTGTATAAAAATGTAGTATGTAGACCATTAACGTGAGATGGATTTACAGCAAGTAATGATACTATAATGGAAGTTTAACTGCTATAATGGTTTCAGATCCAGTTACATGTGTGTTTGCAAGTACCACTCGTGATCATCCTATTCATCTTTGGGATGCTACTTCAGGCGAGGTTCTGTATCATTATTTTAAACATTTTTCTTAAGAGAAGAAAATCTGTTTTGTTTATGCGGATAAAGATTTAAATTCTGATCTTGTAATATGTTGGAAGTTAATGGCCAACCCGTGGCTACACCTATCCATCGCCGAGCTATGAATGTCTGCTGAGTCTGATTTGTTAACATGAATTTTTATGCTCAGTGGCAACTCATGAAAAAAGTTCTATCATGCTACTGTAATAGATTGTATGAACAGCTTTATGGTCTGTCGTGCTTTTTTTATGACTTCATATTGGTAACCAATGATTTTAACTGGAATTGCAGCTTCGTTGCACATATCGGGCTTATAATGACGTGGACGAAATCACTGCTGCCTACTGCATTGGTTTTAACCCTGCTGGGACCAAGTAAGTAATAGGTATTAGTTTTTTCAACAGGTTTATAACTTGCCCTATGTATTAGTTTCAAATTCAAATTGAAGACAGTGCTGGTTTCTTAAGTTCTCTCTGTATAAATTCATCCTGAATCAGCCTCGTTGACCATAGTGATACTTCGAATTTGAACTATTAATATGCAATCCTGACTGAATTTGGTATATAATTCTTTGCACAAGGGGTGGCAAAAATGAGTTTTCTTTGATTGGTGATTCTCTGAAATGAACGCATCATTAATCTTTTGCCTAGTGTATGAGTCTTTTATAAATATTGAATGAGTCTTACCTAGGGAATATCTACCTTTTGGTACAAATACCAAATGGCCTCTTTGATCATGAAGTCAGGTTAGCACTATTGAGAAGGAATCATCCAGATATGAGGCAAGAAGATGAGTGTTGTTCATGCACGCAGATGTCTTTATATTCCAAGTAATATAGCACATACACAATCAATTATCAATTTACCATTAAACTATGTCTTATGTAAGTGAACTTTATTACCATTAAATTGTTTATGTAATCAAACTTTATTTTGCATAATGGTAGTATTGGTGTTTTACTTTGCAAATTATCAGCAAAGTTGTAAATTGTAATTACTTTATTGTTATAATTGTCTGATATGTTCTTTTTTTCCCCCAAATGTCTCAGTTTAGACAAAAAAAAAAAAAAAATGAAAATGAAACTCACTTCTAAGCAAAATAATCTCCTACAGCTTACAGGAGGCCCATAAGTAAATCTGAACTGTGGTATAGTTCATCCTAGGTCATATCAGTTCTCCACTGTTGGTCTCTGTGAGCTGTTATCCACAAATCCCCTATTTCTTTTGTGTAGGGTTTTAATATATGTAGATGTTGTTTAATATATATATATATATTGATTCCTGATTAAAATTGAATAATTTCTGTGGACTTCTAAACTATGTTGCAGGATTTTTGCTGGCTACAATAAATCTCTAAGAATATTTGATATTCATCGCCCTGGTAGAGATTCTGTACATCATTCAACTGTTAAAGGAAATAACCAACAACCAGGTAGTTATGTAACTTTGATATATAAATTAAAGTTATTTATTGAATAATAAGATAATGCAGTATTACCAAGGATGAAATAAGCAATAGAGCTATGGTCTAGTGTCTTGTATGGAGTGAGTTCTGCTCTCCTTGTCTTTGATACACTCAGCATCCATGTGGTTCCAAAAATTATACCAACCTCCTTATGAGGAATGTTGTGTAACAAATTATCTGTCCTTTTTTGTTTTTGTTTTTGTTTTGTGTGTGTGTGTTTTTTCAGGTATTATATCTTCAATTGCTTTTTCTCCAAGTCATACTGGGATGCTTGCTACGGGTTCCTATGGTCAAACTACTGCAATCTATAGGGAAGATAATATGGAACTGTTGTACATCTTACATGGCCAACAAGGTGGGGTTACACATGTAAGTGTTCATATTATTGCCATTCATTTTGAATTCTTTCTGCAATATGAACAATTAACCTTTTCAAGCACAACTTTCTGTCAGGTGCAATTCTCAAAAGATGGTAACTATTTATATACAGGGGGGCGAAAGGTAAATTATTGTGTTGTTCTTTTTGAATTCTGTCTTGTTCTTTTTTGTTTTTTCCCTCACATGAAATGTACACTATATGCTAGGTGGAATACAACCGATAGATGGTCCCCAACCATCTGAGCCTATGCAAACTCTACAATTTAATCTTGCATAGTTCATTTAAGGACACATACATTTTCTAAATTTGTTGTCTTTTGGTGGTTAATATTTGTTATAAAAAAGATAAAATAAATCCATAATATGATATTCTTAAGCTCCATCTTGTACAAAGACAAGCTAGATTCAGGAAACAATTCTAGATAACTTGCACTCCTACTGATCTCATATTATGCCAATTGCCAATAAAATAGGATAGCACCATGATAATATAATGATAATGGAGTTCAAATAGTTAATGCAGACTTTCTTCCAGTCATAGTTGTTCAATTAGAGCAAATGGATTTGTTTTTATGTTCATCTCCAAGATATTTATTAAACCTTGTAAATTGTAATTGCTCTCTTATTTTGTCCTCCATGAGCTATCTAGTTGCAGCTTACCCTTTGATGAACCTTATCATTATTTTTATAGCTGGTTATTATATGCTAACGTCTGGATAATATGCATGCATTTGACCAAAAAAATTATCCTCAAATTTGTTATAGGACCCTTACATAATCTGCTGGGATATACGCAAAGCTGTTGACATTGTGTTTAAGTAAGTACTATTTACTTTATTGGAATGAAAGTTCAGTAGATGTGCTAACATAGGTACTGTTTATTGGAGCGGATAAAAAAAAGAAAGAAAGAAGGGTATTGCTTATTGGATTTGCCCACCTGCACCTATAAATATGTAACCTTATTTATCACATACATACATACATACAGGTCTTCTTTTCAAAATAAGAGGAATTTATTCTAAGTTGTCCTTTTCAGTTCACTTCAAAATATCATATGCTTTTCTTTTTTTTTCCTGGCGGGGGTGGGAGAAGTTTTGGGCTGATGCTCACTCTTGAGTATGATGTAACTACATTTTCCAGTCTGTATTGGTTTGAATGGCTTGTTCTTTCTGTTCATGCAAGTTCTGGATTACCCTCTTTAATCACTCAATTTAAAGAAGGGCTTTGACTGATTGTTTTGCCTGTGTGCATCCTGTAATTAGGCTGTATCGATCTTCAGAAAATACCAATCAGCGGATACTGTTTGATATTGATCCTTTTGGTCAGCATCTTGGTACAGGCGGTGAGGTATTATTCTAGTGTTCATCCTCGTCCCTTTTCCAGGTATGATGCTAATCAGTTCAATGCCTTAATGTTCTTGCACTCTTTGCTTTCAGGACGGATTGGTTCATATTTATAATCTCCAAACAGGGCAGTGGGTATCAAGCTTTCAAGCTGCACTGGGTAATATGCCATATCCTTGTCGGGCAATATTTAGTTTGCAGTACATTCTTGTTTTCTTCTATTTCTAATGAATTCATATTCCTTCCTGTTCAGACACTGTCAATTGCTTCTCGTTCCATCCATTTCTGCCAATGGCAGGCTCTTCATCAGGGCATCGAAGATTTGTAAGCCTCGATGATTCTCCCGAGGTCTTCAGCTTGAGTGGTATCTCCTTTCCTTCCTATGTTTACTTTTCCCATTCCTTTCTTCTTATAATTGTCTGGGTCTCCTAGGAGAATCTAGACGAAATAAAAAAATAAACCAAGAAATGCTAAACTAGAAGGCCGAGTTAATTTGACAGAATGCAATATGTTTGCAACTTGCAAGTGATATGTTAGATGTGCCATGAATTTACACTCCATTTGTTTTGGCGGAAAAGGTTTTTCGACCAAATAATATATTTTTTTAATATTTTCTGGCTTTTGGTATGACGGAAATAAAAGTCAACAGATATATTTCTGTGCTTAATGGAAAATTAGTTGATTTTGGCAAAAAAATGTTTTTCCTTTTTTAATGCAAGATGTTTTCCGGATTAAAATGTTACCAATGCCACCACTATAGTGTGAGAATATATTGTGTATTTTCTATTATAGTCCTATTAGAGGTATGATTGTGTTAGAGTCCTATTAGAGGTATAATTGTATTCTCCCTTTTGGTTTAGGATTTAGGGCTATATAATCTAAGGTCTGATTGTAATCATTCACACATTGAATATATGAGATACAGAAAGCTATTCAGAAATCTTACAATGTGAGAATATATTGTGTATTTTCTATTATAGTCCTATTAGAGGTATGATTGTGTTAGAGTCCTATTAGAGGCATAATTGTATTCTCCTTTTTGGTTTAGGATTTAGGGCTATATAATCTAAGGTCTGATTGTAATCATTCACACATTGAATATATGAGATATAGAAAGCTATTCAGAAATCTTACATGGTATCAGAGCCGTTCTCTGATCCGAAACCCTAGAGCCATCTCCATTACTCTCTTGTTTGTGTTTGTGCCTCATCTCAGTCGACTCATCTGCTCATTCTGGTTCGTGACCCATCTGCTCGTGGTTGTGCCTTGACTTAGTCAATCCATCTGGATTTCTTCTCTGTTTGTGCTATTTGGTAGTCGCACCCATCTAACGGTTTGACCCATCTAGTCATCGCCTCCTCACAGCTCGTCTTCTCTCTCTGGCTCTCCTTCGTGGTCAACCCATCTTGGTTTTGCAAGACTTCAACCCATCTCTAGTTCAGTCCGTCGAAACCCCTAATTCTCTCTCTGGTTCGAAGCTCTCTGGACAAATTTCGCGACCTAGTTGATTTGCAAGTCTTTGACTCGCGACTTCTTCTCGCTGCTCTCGGCCTCGCGATTGTCTCTGGTGTATGGTTATCTAGTTGCTTCGTCGCATCTGTTGGTTGCATCGAAGTGAAGTTACCTCTCAGCTTCTCTCAACCAAAAGGGAGAATACAATTATGCCTCTAATAGGATTCTGACACAATCATACCTCTAATAGGACTATAATAGCACCTTCAGTTTGAGTGGGGGTGTGAGAATATATTGTGTATTTTCTATATAGTCCTATTAGAGGTATGATTGTGTTAGAATCCTATTAGAGGCATAATTGTGTTCTCCCTTTTGGTTTAGGATTTAGGGCTATATAATCTAAGGTCTGATTGTAATCATTCACACATCAAATATATGAGATGCAGAAAGCTATTCAGAAATCTTACATATAGAACCACGACAACCACCCTACCACCACCACTCCTACCACTGTTACCCTACAACCACTACCACTGCCATCCTACCACCACAACCACCATGACCACCGCCCACCTCTCTAGAAAAGCATTTTCAAGGTCACAACAAAACACACAAAAATGGTTTTTGCAAACATTCAAAAAAAAAAAAAAACATTTTTCTCAAAAAGATGTTTTCTGTAAGAAATTGTATTCCACCAAAACAGAGCGTTTGTACTGTTGGTCGTTAGAATTTTGTCTTTTCTTTTATGATAAGACAGGTTAGGAATGCACATGATATTCATTACTAATCATCTGTTTTTTGTGTTTGTACCGCGTAGGTGATGAAAACTGTGCTTCCATTTGGAGTTTTGCTTATGCTTCAATGGCGGACAATGCTACCAGCATGGATTCTGGAGATTCAAACCTTTGTCAGGATCCTTGAATTGTTTGCAAGTTATTTGTATAATTGCATTTACTATATTATAAACTTAATTATGAGCAAGTGAGATTAGTCTGATTTTCCAGCTCTGTTGTATATTTACTAGCTTCAGTTGATGCAAAGGTCCATTCGGTAATACTCAAGGGCCAGTTTTCTTGAGCTGATATTGAATTTGATATCAACAAAATTGTTCATTTGGAGTGTATACTCTTGCTTATTTTTTCATCAATTTCAACAGTAAATTCTGAAATTGTATGTAATCTAAATTATGCTGATGATTGGTGTATCTATTTGCTGATGTAGGATGGATGTGTTTGATGTGTAATTGACTCTTATAAATGTAGAAGTGTTATAAATTACCCGGTGGGTCATGAAGATTTTGTTTTGTTTTGTTTTGTTTTTTTTTTCCTCTACATTTTGTAGAGAAAATTATTAAAAAAAATTCAATTTAATAAAGACATTAGGTTTAGTGGATATTTTTTATTGGTGAGAGATTTATCCTTTGTGAAATAATTTGGTAAGAAGTCTTTTTATTGGTTTTGAAGGATATTTTGTTTTAATTTTACCTTTTATCTCTGTTGAATTTTTTTTGATTATCTATTCATATTTATATTTATCTGTTCAAATTCATATCTATCTATTCAAATTTTTCCCATTATGCGTTCAATTTTTATCTGTCCAATTTTTTTTTTGTCTGTCCAATTTTTTCTCTATAAATTTTATCTGTCTAATTTTTTATCTATTCAATTTTTTATCTGTTCAAATAATAATTCAATTTCTTATTTTTACTAAACATTTTCCTTATTTGTTTTATTTTTACTCTCCAGATTCTCTCTCTCTCTCTCTCTCTCTTAATTTTATGTGTTCAATTCCCCTCTCTCTCTCTCTCCCTTAATTTTATGTGTTCAATTCCCCTCTCCATAACATTAGAGAACTTCTAGGCTGGGATTACAAAACCAATAGGGGAACTTCAAATAACAAACACAATGGCAAAAATGAGAAGAAACAAAAGAGACAAAAAGAAAAAAATATGCATCCTATAAAATAAGTGAACTTTGCTGCCACAACGAGAGCTATGATGCCTTGAAGATGAAACCAAGTGAGGCAAAAAAGAATGGATGTTCCCACGCACTGGTCGCCCCAGGACCATACCCTCCTCCACTGTACCCACCACCCAAAGCCCCATAACCAGTGCCTCCACAATCATCCACACCACTCCTATGTGGACTTTCAACAAATACCTAGAATGCATCAATAGAAAAAATATAAAAAACACAAAATAAATCACAAATCAATTATAGAACAACAACAACAACAATCTGAAACCCAACAACAACAATAACAAATCAATGATACAAAAAAAATAAAATAAATCACAACAGATATTTGACGATTGGACAAAGATGACCTTTTTGACTCGTGATTATTCTTTGCAACTCTGGTTTGACTTCGATCCGAATCACGTGGCCTATTTTGACTTCAATGCAAAGCCCTAATCAAGATCTAACTTTGATAAGAATAGTGGCGGTGGCTGTGGTGGCTGCGACACTAGACAGAGAGAGCTAGATCGACAGTGTTGATTAATTTAGATCTCTTGGATCGATTTGCAACGACGGTGAATCTACCACTACCACCACCTTTGCTCAGCTTCTGCTTCCTCTTCCTCCTTCGTCCAAAGTCTTCAGAATTGAGAGAGAGAAAGTGTCACGATCCAAACTCGGTACCTAGAGGTTCGGCGTCATAACAAGATAATAATTGAAGTTATAACAAATTAATAGTGTAATGGAGTAAAATAAAAGGATATCCAAATCTTAATTATAACATATATATTGGAGCTTCCATGCATTTACATTGCCAGAGCTGAACTATGACTACAAAGTGTCTTGTGCCTACCCCACACACTAGTCTTGACACTTCACCTAAAAGTGGTTAACAACTATAAGCACATGACAAAATGATATATATTATACTGAGAGTATAAGGGTATAAAATCACCATGGATAATTATTTGGCTAAATAGAGATTTGCTCGATAATAGAAATACATAAATCATTTTAAATGACAAAAGCATAACGCAAAAATCATATAAGCAAATAATCATAAACACAGACAGATGGATGGATTTAAGAGGTGGCTTGTACAAATTTTAGAGGTGGCTCCTACAATAGTGTAGCACTTAGTTCCGCACAACACTTTGCTCTACGCCAGAAATCAGAGGGTCAGTAGATCCATGACAACGGAGAGTCACTTAAAGTGACAACGGAACATAACAGAATGTCATATAAAGTGATATTTCAGATGGCCGATGGATATTTAAGTCTCCCAAGGCATGAGATCTCCGTAGTGGCATTTACAAAATAATTGTCCAAAACACATTTAATAAACAATTATATCTATAGGTTTCATTTTTTAAGCAAATAGGGTTCATTTAACAAATAATATATTTTTAAAAAATAATATGATTTTTAAAACATAATTTACATAAAACAGTTTATGGTAGCTCATTTAACATAATACCAGCAATTTTTTTATTTTATTATTTTTGTTAGATGCACTTAAAAAGTAAAATATTTATTAAAAATATAAAATAAATTCAATATATACACAATAATATAAAAATACACTGAATTATTATATTTTTTTGTATTCAGTGAATTTTTTAGTGAATTTGTTTTTATGAATATTATAATTTTTGAATATAGGTAGATTACAAGAATCTCAAAAGTTTTTAAAAAAAAATGTTAAAATATTAAAAATATTTACTATAAAAAAATAAAAATTTAGAAAAACAATCTAAACCAGACAAGACTATTAAAAAATATTTTTAATCCCAATTATGTAAATTTACCGATAAATCCTATATGGGGGAATATTAATCCATTTATCCTAAGATTTTATTTATTTAAGTGAATATCTTTTTATAATTTATTTTTCTAATTTTCTAATTTGTTTGTGGGATAAGAATGGAAATGTAAGGTGTGGAAGATTTTTTTTAGGAGGGTTGGTGGCTAAAGTGTTGATTGTCGAGCGTGAAAGTCTACATTTATGTTAGTATAATTTTTTGGTATTACATTGAAATGTTATATTAGAGTGTTATGTTTAGAATACGTACACTAAAAATTTTTTTTGTGTTGCATTGATTGAAGTGTTACGTTTAGAAAAAATATACTAAGGAGTTTTTTTAGTATATTACATTGAAGTGTTACGTTTGAGAAAAGTACACTGAGGAAGTTTTTTAGTGTGTTACATTAGATTGTTACATTTAGAAAAAGTACAATAATGAGTTTTTTTGGAATATTATATTGTTACGTTTGAAAAAAGTATACTAATGAATTTTTTAGTGTATTGCATTGAAATGCTACGTTTTTGGATTGTTAGTGTTACGTTTGGAAAAGTACACTAAAGAGGGATTTTTGAAGTGTTACGTTTAGTAATTTCAACATTATGGGCCCATTTGTTTTTAGATGTAGAATGGAATGGATTGTTTGTAAGGAGATTGCTAGTGAGAGAACTACTAATGAGGAGATTAAGAAAAATTGTGTTTGTTTAATAGCCAGTGGACTATTAATAGTTCATGTTTGTTTTGAGAGATAAGAGTAAGATTAACCATGTTTCTCTCTCTCTCTCTCTTATTTGTGAATGTTCTTCTTCTTCTTCTATTTTTTTTCTATTTTTAATATTAAAGAATCTAACTATCAAATTTTTTTTACTCAATGTTGTTTATTTATTTAATATTAATAAATTCAACTATCAATAAATTTTTACTCAATGTTATTCTTTTTTTTAATTTTTTTTATTTCGTAAACATTAAAGAAAATTTTACTCAATTGTTTGTGTTTAATATTACATGAGCCATATTACGAGGAAACTAAGAAAAATTGTGTTTGTTTGTAATATATTTTAGTGGGAGTATTAACTATATAAAATATCATAAATACCCTTTGGTGTTTTTGATATATTTTAATATTAAAAATTATATTTTTGTACTATATTATTTTATGTTGATATTTTTTTTTGGTATAAGGCCTCGTTTGGGAACTCTCTTTTTTAGCCAAAAAGTCAAAAAGTTACTAAATTAGTCAAAAAGCCAACAATCCATACAAAAAAGTCAAAGATTCTCTTTTCTCTCTATTTTTTGCACATCTTTTTGTAAAAAGCTAAAAAGCTATCCCAAACATACTAGTTTTTTCTAGCTCATATTTTAGCCAAATAACCAAAAAGTTACTAAATTAGCCTGTTTCCAAATGAGGTCTAAATATATTATTATATTATTTTATTTTAATATTAAAAATTATTTTTATATTAAACTAATTTTATAAAATGAGGGACAAAATAGTAATTTTACCTCCAATCCTATAGGATTAGATATCAAAATAGCCTCTCCCATGAGATTGCTAGTCTCCTCCTTGGAGGCCTTTCATAGTTCCACGGAACTCTTAATCTCGTGGATACTTTCTAAAACAAACACAATTTTTTGAATCTATCTCACTGCTAGTCCCAATTCTATCCTCTAACTCTAGAAACAAATCAAGCATACGAGAAAACCCACATTTATTCCTCAACACATAATACACGTGTATATACTTGACCATTTATATAATTCACATTAGAATAGAATCTTGAGAAATTTATTAAATAATCAATTTTCAATTGTTTGTATCTCAATTAGTTCATAAGATATTCTTATATTCTAATAAGTCTTATTATTTGGACATTTGATCTATCAAATATTAATTATCATATTTAAAGTATTTTATGGACATTTCTACTCTTACAAATATTTTTTGAACGGTTAACAATTTGGTGATTTGAGCATTTATATTTTACAATGTAAATATTCATATTGACGTGTGAATATTCACATTGATTGTATGAACATTCAAATTGATGATGTAAGCATTCACATTGATAGTGTGAACATTCACATTAACGATGTGGGCATTCACATTGGTATAAACATTCACATCACGGGACATTCACAATGTAAATGTGAATATTATTAGAAGTATTTTGATAATTATGTCACCTATAAAATTTATTAAAACATAAAAAAATAATATAGACTAAATATAATATAAATAGGTAAAAAGATTTATAAAAAGTGCCCCCAAGAATCTTTGAATATATTAAAAAAAAAAATCAAACAATTTATAAAATTTTTATTTAAAATTTATAAATACTTTACCCTTAAAATTAATCTCAAAATTAGCCTTTTAAATCCCACCAACACCACCTAAAAAAAAAAAAAAAAAAAAAAAAAAACCAAAACAAAACTTTAACAGTAGGATCCCGTGTTTGACGCGTAATTGACTGTCCCAAATCCAAAACCCATCCATCGTTTGAACACCGCAACAGCCGCCAGGCCGCCTATTAAGATCAACCCCAACATTCTGACACCATATCTCCACCCTCCACTCCCCACTCACCGACACGTGTCATAAATCAAACAGCTCAACTCCGTCACCGCCACGTGTCCATTTCCCACTAGCCAAACGTGTTTCGATCGACGAGCTTTTTACACCACACGGACACAAAACAAAACAAACAACCATCGCAAAGAGAAAACCGACCTAGACCGACCCAATCGCCCACGTCATCACCAACCCACCCACCCACGTTGTTTCCTCTCCACGCATCTCTGCTCGCCACGTGTTCCCCCACTCCAACGGCTAGTTTTCTCGGTCTCACACGGAGAAACCCAACCCAGATATTTATATCCGAAATTTCGAGTCCCTTCCACTGAATATACGAATTTTCTATCTAAATCTAAATTTTTTTTGAAAAAAAGAAACCCAAATTCAATCTCATCTCTTTAGAAAGTATATAACTAGGACTCTTTTTAAAGAAAGCTTCCATAGTTGTAAAACAAAAAAAGGTCGGTTCTTTGTTTCCTTCTTCAGAGCCACCGTTATACTAATCACCCATTACTCCACAACCACGATTTAGGGTTTTTCTCTCACACCAGGTTTTTCTCGCTCTCTATATCTGTTTATATATATAATATGGTGATTTGTTTCTGATTGGTATTCGGTCAGATTGGGTTTTTGTTGTTGGGGGCATATTTTGATTTTGTGTTGTTTGGATTGATGGAAAAATCAGATCTTGTTGAGAATTGTTGCGAGGAGTTGAGGAAGAAAATGGCTTTGGGAAAGAGATGTGGGTCGAATGTGAAGCGTGATAATGAAGGATTAGGGTTAGGGTCAGGGTTTGTTCGGTACACGAGGTCGATGAGTGGGAAGAGGATTGCTTTATCGAGCAATATGGAGGTTGATTCCACGGTGACAACACCCAGAATGAAGAAACATTGCAGTGAGAAAATGATGAGTTTTGACAAGTCTCTGCTTGAAGCCCTGCCTCAGGACATTCTGGTTAGTGCCAAATATTTGATTAATTCAACCTAGAAATGTGTTTATGTAATTGGGTTTTGTGCGAAATGTGTATATATAATTGGGTTTTGTGGTTTGAACAGTGTTTCTGAATTCAATTTGGGGTTTTTTTTTTTTGGCTTTTTGCAGATTAGGATATTGTGCAATGTTGATCATGATGATCTCAAGCAGCTTTTCCATGTATCGAAACCAATCAGAGAAGCAGTAAGTTTCAATTGTTTTTGCTTTTTCACATGTTCTCATTTTCTCATTTTCTGTCTTGTTGTGGTGATTATTGATTGTGATTTGTGTTTGTTCTGTGAATTGACAGACTTTAATTGCGAAACAATGGCATTTCGCATATAGCACGCCTACAAAAACTTTAACTTTTCGGAATTCTATTGATTTGGGAGATGCTGGGGACATTGAAGAGGTTGAGGCACCGAATGCTCCGAAACAGTTTCGAAATCAACGGTCACGATTGAGCAGAAAGAAGCTGGCCGACATCTCAGTGGCCTTGTTTGCTTCACCGGAAGAAGCTCAGTGGCCAAGGAAAGATTTATTTATGGAAATCGAAGCAGAAATATGAGATTTGAGTTATTGATTGACAAAAAGTGTTTTGTATAGTCATTGTTGTACTTACTAATTCGTAATTGATTGAATTAGAGAATTGAGATCTGATGAGCTGATAGAAAGTCCTCTTTTTGGTTTTGTACATTGTTTAGGTATGTACATTACAAGCCATTTTCTTCAACCCTTTCATTGAAGATGGGTTGGCTTGTTTGTGTCTATTTGTTTATTTTTTTATTTTTGTATATTTTAGGGATTTGTTCAATGGCCATGCCTCCAAAGATTTAGGGTGTACAGATGACTCTGCATACTCTTTCATGTTGTTTTGATTAAATTAAATAAATAGAATATCCTCTTCCACTTTTCATTTCATTTTCTTGTTTCATGTATTTTCTCTGCATTTTCCCCTTTTCAATTCATTTTCTTGTTTCTAGTATTTTCTCTTTGCTTGGTGGTAGATTTCCGTGATATTGCTTCGTAATGTTCTCTGCATGAATTGGATAATCAATCTCACATTTTGAGCTGTAAGAGAGTGCAAAGATTTTGAAGAGTAATGGGAGTTCTCAAAATCTTAAGGTAGGGTTTAATTTCTTGGAATAATTTTAGGCATAAATGGGATTGGCATTGGATGATCAAATTCATGGTGCCTTTGTAGCTTCTTTTCCCTACATTATAAGAGCGGCAAGAGTGCAAAGATTTGAAGAGGAATGAAACTTGTTGAAATCTCAGGTAGTGCTTGGTTCATTAGAATAAATTTGGGCATGAATGGATTGACTATGTTTTTGGCTTCCCAATGGAATGGTCATCCCTCTAAATTGGTGAATGGTGAATTCATATGGATCTACATTTCATATTCTTTAACGAAACAAAAATGAGAATGGATATTTCAATAAAATGATCGTTCCATTTCCGTCTTCATTATAGTAATAACCAATTACTACCCAATATATATGGAAACGGAATTGGTTTGTAATTTTTCAAAAATCTATTGTTTTAAGGAATGGCAGATGATAGCATTCAATCTGTATTTGTATAGTTTTGGAGAATGGGCTGTTTTGGTAACTATCAGTTCCTTCATGAAAATCTGGCTTTTTGTAGGATATAGCTGGCATTTAGCATGTAAAAACTAACAAAATTCAACATCTTTGCTTTGAATTATTTTTATTTGGGAAGCTACTGAGTATCTGCATATACAAACTAGTAAAGGTGGCTGTTGATTTCGAGGCGTAATTAGTATATATGTATATGCTTTTTGTGTTGGCTAAATATATCCATTTCCTGCAGTTGATTAAACTTGCAATCACCAGACAAATGAAAAAAATATAAAAATGGTAGTTAACCTAGTGATTATTGACGGCGCAACAAAGGCTGTATAAAGTAAATTCTGGTTTGTTGCGGTTATTTCAAAAAGGCAATGTGAACTTGACTATGATTGTGGTAATATCAGTGGGTTGCTGAGCTTCTCAATGGAAGCCAGCTACATCCTAAATTATATAATGAAAGTGTTGTGCAATGAATCAAAAACAGTCTGTCCCTTTTGACAGTTTCAACTTTTGTAATGTGTTTTTTCTCTGTATCTATTGCTAGAGATGAGAGTGATTGAAGTTTTCTGATCATCTTCCGAGACTCCACAAATGGTTCGAGTTTCGTTGAAGGATCAAGCACTACCCTTCCATTTTGTAGTGTACAATTGGCTCACTCCATTTGGTGATGGGTAATTTTAGTGAATGTGCCTCGAAACTCAGGACATTGAGAAACAGTTTCCGCCCACTGCAATGGTGTTAAAAAGGGCTCGAAAATTTGGCACTCCATTGCAGATGGCTAGCATTTTAATGTGTGTATAATTAAGATGGGCCAAAATATTTGCTTTCATCTTTTCTTCTACAATCACATATTTGGTGGAGTTGGCTGTCAGGCCCCGTTTGTTTTGGGTTATAACCCGTTTGTTTTGGGTTATAACAAGGGGATTTGGATTACTAGTACCTTGGGATTAGTATATGGGGTGTTTGTTTTGAGAGATAGCCTAGGGACTATTAATACCTTGGGACTAACTAATACCTTGGTATTACTAATACCTTGTTTGTTTTGAGAGATAGGGAGGGTACTACTAATATCTTGGTATTACTAATACCCTTGGGGAGGGGATTCATAGTGAGGAGGTAGAGATGGTATTAGAAAAATAGTGAGGGGATTAGAAATTTTTTTATTTTTTTTATTTTTTATATATTGGAAATTTTTTTAAAAATATAATTTTTAATTTTTTATATTTTTTATTTGTTTTATTATTTTATATAAAAATAATTTAACAATTCCTCACTACTAATCCCCTCACTACTAATCCCCTCACTATCAATCCCCTTACTAACAATCCCCTCATTATTAATCCCCTCACTATCAATCCCTTCATTCTATCTCTGAAAACAAACGACCCTCACTAACAATCCCCTCACTATTAATCCCCTCACTATCAATCCCCTCCATTTCATCTCTGGAAACAAACGGGGCCTCAACTTCTTGGCAAAACAAGTAAACAGCTGTTTGCTATCCAAGTTTTGCTGTTTCGAAAAAGACACTTGAACGAGTGATGTGACAACTTATTGCGATTTTTGATTTTTTGGCTAAAATGTATAGTTGACAAATGAGACCTAATTACCAAAAAAAGAAAAGAAAAAAAGAGACCCTTTTAATTCATCACACCTCAATGCCAAATTACACCAAAGTTTTTCCATATTGGTCTATGTAATGAGGGTCACCACTCACAGATTGGTGGGGGCAAAACAAACAAACAGTTTGCTAGAGGAAGCTTCTCAGATCCAGCAGCATCTCAGAAATAGTTTTTTCTATTTCATTTTTTATTTATTTTATTTTCATAGTTATGCTGGGACAAATATATTAGTAGTGGTGTTTTTGCTTATGTTAGGACTTTTTGTCATTAAATTCTTCAAGCTGTACAAGTTTGCTGCTTTCAAAAAGGCAGTGATTGATGCTAAAACGACAACGTCAAAATTAAAATTTTAACTTCATATATTATTAAAATGTTATTGTTTGACTTCTATTGAAGGAAGAAAAAAGTTATTTTTGCATAAAATTTATACGGAATTTGTTTTTAGAATGGTATAATAATGATATTTTTTTGCAATTAACAGTGACCTTGATTGATTTTTTATTTTGTAGTGATAGGTACACAATGTGGTCACATCATTCTATATAAGTTTTATGTGCGTTTTTATTTATTTATATATCAGTATGTAAATATTTTATTTTATTTTTTCTCAAATGTAAATAAAAATCTTATTTGTGGTCCTATAAGAGAAGGATAAGAGATGTGAAGAGAATCATTGAAGATGATTTTTGAAAATGTTTTGTTAAATTTTGCTAAATCACTTTTTTATTATAATCCGTTTCAAATGCTGGAATTATGGGATTTGAAATAACACTCACATTCCTTCTCAAGATTATGGTCTTTTGAACAAATCTAGGTTAGAATAGGTTGAAAAAATATAAAAATAAAAATTAGCAGTTGGGACAATAAGGTTGACACATTTTCGAGACATATGTATAAATAACATTTTCTTTTTGGTTCTACTAGCCTATCACCCGTGCTATGTACGGGATAATTATAAATATTTATATTTATTTTAATTTTTTTAATATATAAATTATGTTTTTTAATATTTTTTATAAAAATAATTTAACAATCTTATCACTAACCAAGTTGAAAAGGGTACTGCAGTAATTATACACGGATTGTATCTATAATTATTTGTATGAGGTGATTTTAAATGTTGATCAGGAGATTTTGACCAAATCAATAAATGCAGGCATGTGGATTGAAAAAAGTTAATAAATGCTGATCAGGGGATTTTGACCAAATCAATAAATGCTTAACTTTTTTTTTTAAATCAAAAATTTAGAAAATTAAGATTGAGAGATTGGAGCTCCTACAAGGCTTGGGGTTTAGAAACTCCATTTTTCTTAATATATTTACAATTATCTATATATATGAATTGTGATTTTTAAATATATATATATTTTTAAATGTCTTCTTTTTTTTCATTTTTTATACTTATATTAAAGTTTAATATTTTGATAATAAACATATGTGTTGGACTTTTCAAGAAATTTTTTTTATCATTGTTCTTAATACATTAAAGTGTTATCATGAGGGATAATAATCATATGTGTTGGGACTTTTCAAGGAATTCATATTTGTTGGATTTCAAAGAATTTTTTTTATGCTTGTTCTTAATGCATTAAAGTGTTATTATGAGGGTAAGACTTGAGAGTTGAGATTTTTTTTTTTAAATCAAAAAATCAGAAAATTTAGATTGGGAGATTGGAGCTCTCACAAGATTTGGGGTTAAAAATTTATTTTTGCTTAATATATAGTATAGATATAGATATAGATAGATAGATATAGATATTTATATATGTTTTAGATATTTTTTTAATATACAAATTATTATTTTTAGATTTTTTATAAAAATAATTTAATAATCCCATCACTAACTATAGTGTATGGAAGAAGTTGAAAAATATGTTACAATAACTATGAGAGAAGTCAAAAAGGCATATGGATTGAGAGAAATCAATAAATGTTAAGATTATTATTATTTTTAAATCAAAAAATTAAGATTAAAATATTAGACCTCTTACAAAATTTATTGATTAAAAATCTCCTTTTACTTAGGCCTCGTTTGGGATGCTTCTGTTTTAGCCAAAAAGTCAAAAAGTTACCCTAAAAACCTATATACACTACCTGCACGTGAAGGCTGCCAGCTGTTGTGTAAAATGACCGTTTTGCCCCTCTTTCATTTTGTTTATCTCGTTTTCACCCTTGCCTTTATGTCAAACATTGATGGGGATGTCAGCAGACCTACTCTCCCACAGAGTGTAGTAGCTATGGCTGTGCAGCTACATCAAACGGTGAAGATGAAGATGACCCTTCGTTCAAGGCTGGATCATAGTAGCAGCTCTGATCTGAAGAGAAAGAGGAACCAAGAGACGATGATAGTCCGCCAAGGCAAACGGAAAAGCAGTCCCTCCTCCGACGATTCCCCCAACTGCAGGTATGCTCTCGCTCTCTGTCTCTCTCTCTTCAGCCTCTCTTGTTTCCATTTCGCTATGGCTTCCCAACCGTCGTACGCTCTGTTTGGTTTGTATGTATGTATGAACTCTCTCTCTCTCTCTCTCTCGCGCGCTCTCTGTCTGTGTGTGTGTGTCTGTCGCTCTATCTGACCATTGTCGTTTTCCAATTTGTCTTCAACATTCGAGTTGGGTAAATTTTTCCAGAAACTGGCCTATTATGTTGGGGGTTTTAGGGTTTCTTTCACGTACCGGAAATAGACAATATTGCGGGTTGTCCGTTGATGGGGGGGGTGTGGATCTCATAACCATGACTTCTCTGCTCTGGTTTTTGTATATGTGCACAGTCTGCCCTCTCTCCCTCTCGCTCTCTGTTTGTCTTTGTCGCTGTGTGTGTATCAACCGTTGCCTATTTCATACGCATTAACAAAAAATTACAACGCCTTTTTTAGGGGGATTAACAATAAAGTCCCCTAAATACGATGAAGTATTATGATTAATTTTCCCCTAACAAGAAAGCCCCCTAAATAGGACGAAGTAGTCTGTATTAATAGAACAAGTTGGAAGTATTCTGTCTGTCTCTGTGGTTATAATTGTGCAATACGTTGACATGAAATTTTCATTTATACTATTCCTATAAATTTGGTGAAATTAGCTACAAGTGCCACCATTGTGATTCCTACGAACACATCACAATAACGTTGGTGAATAATTGGTCATTTTCTTTTTGTTTATGTGGCAGTCTGGTTGTCCCTGTTAATCTTTTGAGTAAGGTGGATTCAATCCCTATAATGAAAAAGGAGGGGGGAGAAAAAAAGAAAATTTGTCACTAGAAAACAACGAATCATACGAATTTCCACAACAAACTCATCTTCCATATGTCTCAGTGTTTAAACAATGTACTTCAGCAAAAGATTTTTAATCTGTTCAAGGTAATGTTGATTTTTATGTGTTTACAATTTTCACAAATGTTTAATTTGTTTCAAATTTTTAAACTGTTTAAGATTTCTGTTAAGGTCATCTGTTTACGGTAAGGTAATGTATACATTTCATGGCGCTATATTTTTAGGTAATATGTTTAAGGTTTTTAATCTGCTTAAATTTTGTAATCTGTTTGCATGCTTTTAAGATTTTTAATCTGTTTAAGGTTATCTGTTTAAGGTAAGGTCATGGAGCTGTATTTTAAATTCACAAAATAGTATAAAGGTCTTCATTTTTGTGCTTGACACTTTCTTATTTTTCATTTCTCTGCTTCACGCTTGCCTCATAGTGTTCATGGAAATGTGATACGATTGTTAAAAAGTGCTAAATAGATGGAACATAGGCATGAATTCAGTAGCTGTATAACTGTGAAGTTGGTGAGCATGATTTCCATGATCAGGATGTTTGTGTAACATCTATTCAAGTACTTTTTGTAGATCTTTATGCATATACATACGCATGAATATAGTCTATTCCTTTCTAATCTAATACACATGTACATACATATATATGTAAATGTGCATATATTTTAACATGACATAACATTCTATTTCTTTCTAATCTAATACACATGTACATACATATATATGTAAATGTGCATATATTTTAACATGACATAACATTCTATTTCTTTCTAATCTAATACACAAGTTTGTAGTTTCAAAAAAATCCTGGTATGAGTTTGACATTCCGTTGAGTTGCTTCAGTCTTTAGTAATCGCCATGTTGGTTGATGCAAACCATTGTGCTGCTTGGTACATAGTTGCCTTAATACATTGACCTCAAAATCGCGTTGGCTTTGCTTACCTACTGTATTTCTTGACAAATATCAGTTGGCTTATTGTGGTTATGCCTTAATTAACATTGTCCTAAATACAATAAAACTGCTAATCCAAGGATGACTTTGACTTGTAATGCTATCAATATATGGTTAATGTTGTGGTGGGATCTTACGTTATTATGTTGCCTTCGTACCTACCTAGTTTTTTGAGACTACAAATTTTAATGTTGCCCAAATAGACGCCTCAATATATGGTTAATTATGGTTAATGCTGTGTCATGTGCTATTTTGGTATCAATATATGGTTATTATGTTGACTTTGACTTGTAATGCTATCAATATATGGTTAATGCTGTGTCATGTGCTATTTTGGTATTATTGGTTTGCCATGATTCTGTTTTTTTTTTTACTTTTATTTTCAAGCTCTTTGCTTGTTGTATGGTCAATCATGATTAATATTTTAATTTCTCGGTTATAAATCTGTCATAACAAAGCACAAGTGTAAATTATGTTCACATTATCAAAGGCAAGGAAAAGTCTGAGACACATGGCAACTCAATCAACTTATGAAGTACTGACACTTCAAAATAGATGTGTTTGTGTCAATGTATGGGGCACCAACATGCTAGGGATACATCTCTGTGTTGGACACGTCACGTGGAATGACTTATTTCTTTTTTTTAACTACACAGTTCATAGATACATGTGTCCTATGTTTAAACATGCCTCAAATCATATTTGTGATCTTTTTTATATGATTTAGAAAGATGCATTAAGATCAAACTAAAATATATAAACACAAAGACATGAAAGAGAACGTAAAAATACACCTACATACATTAATGCCTTTTATATCATTGTCTCCTAAATTTGGCTTTACATACATAGCAATGGAAATTTAAAAAAAAAACAAAAAGATTTCTTTTGTTGTATTTCTGTCTTGTCTTGTCGGTATCTTAGTTTTTTACAAAATTCCCGTCTTTGCCTCTGCGCTTCTTAGCATTCAACCAGTTGCACATAAATGACTAGGGAAGCAATCCTATTGAAAATGGAAGAATATATGTTCCCTTTTGTAAATATAATGTTGTGTTTTGTTTACACAATACACTTATCCCATACCATAAGTGTCACACCCGTTTACCTGTTTTGTTGTGCCTGTCATGTCATCGAACACGTCATCACAGAGTACATGGCCTCGTTTATGTCTACTGCGACATCAACACAACCAGGCCCTATGTGTGCTTGTGGGTACGGGCATTGTGTGGTCAAGATTTCTTGGTCCGCCAAAAATCCAGGACGTGCGTACTACCAATGCCCTCGTGGAGTGGTGAGTACAAGCACCTTCACCTTCTTTGGGATTATTACCTTGTCAAATCGTCACTAATAATTTCAAAACTTTTTTTAACTTCAGCCATGTGTCAATTGGATTGGGTGGTGTGACGAATATGGCCGACAAACGGCTGCTGAGAATGACAGAGACAATGTTCGTCGTTTTGAGGCGCGTTTGATTGACATTGAACAGAGTCTGCGTGTACTTAAAGTTGTCACATGTTTTTTGTCCATCATCGTCTCTATCTTGTTGTTCCGTATGTAATATATGTAACAGTGTTTAGATGGTTATTGTACTATGGTTTCCGTATGTGATATATGTATCCGCGTGTTGCTACTGTACTATGCTTTCCTTATGTAATATATTACTTATCCGTGTCATTTTACTATTGCATATGTGTTGGACAAACATAATAACATATGGTTAACACAACTACAAGTAATGCACACAACAAACTAATAAGTAATGCAAATTATAATGTTCTATAGTCGCATGGCTTCAACTCGATCCGGCTCTCGTACCCCTTCCGGGAAAGGGAAGGGCCCAAAACCTTATCACAAAGCCAATTGGGACTGGGAGAACACACGTATCTACTTGGAACTTGTTGTCAAGGAAATAGATGCAGGTAACAGGCCGCACATGTCAATAAATCCGAATGGGTACCGGTCTTTGGCAAAGACTTTTGAGGCAGTGACTGGGTTGACACATAGCATGAAACAACTGAAAAATAAGTACAACCAACTAAAGGCAAAGTGGCGTGCATGGTCGAAACTAATGGATAGCCGCAAAGGCCCCACTGGAATTGGGTTCGACCAAGAGACTGGCTTCATCAATGCGTCGGATGAATGGTGGTCTACAATGGAGAAGGTAACGACTTGAACTCATCTTTTATAATTTTGTGATGCTCACTTTGTGGTTACACTAGTTTTGGCATGACATGTCATGTGCTTTTTTTAAAACCTTTGTTTGATCTTCTTGAAAACTTTCCTCAACATCTCAGTAATGTTGAAATGTATAATTGTCAAGAGTTGATTTCACTTTTTACTTTATGGTTGCCTAGACCGTCTCAGATTTCTACCTTAATTTTTCTTTCACAATTGGATCTATCATGATGTGTTTTTCTGTTTCACTGCTTTCCTCATTTTCTGTCATTGATGTAATGAACTCCACCAATGTGTAATGAATGACGACAACAAATGCTTATATTTTTAAAAGCCTATACTGTAAGATCCTGGGAATTACAATTTCACTTGGCTATCATATAATAATCTGTCCAAAAAAGTAATAATCTGTTACAATAATGTGTGCAGCAAAATTTTCCTGGACAGATTACATGAACCCTTATCTGTCCACTAGAACCCTTTTATATCGCCTTGTTGGTATTATTGGTTCTTCTTTGGGGGAGGGGGGGTTTACGCCTTGTCTCATCTTGGTTTGTCTCATTTCTGGATTTGGTGAATGGGTTATCTGAGAATTCAGAATAGTATTGATGGTTTTGGCACTTTCAATTATGGGTTTTATTAATTTGTTAGTTTTTGGAAATTTAAACAGCTGGGTTTTAAAGTATTTGTCACTTTGTGGGATTGCGTATATGCAATTTTGATCATTTCTGCGGATTAGATCTTCCATTACGTATGCCCTACTATGAATATTACTTTTACTTTGTTGTGTTGAACATTGTTCCTGGACAGATTATTGCAGAAATATGTCTGGACAGATTCTATTCCTCGACAGATTATCCCTGTCTGGACATAATCCCTGTCTAGACAGATTATAACAGATTGGAACAGATTTGATTAATCTATTACCTGTTAGCAATGTGTAATCATAGAATTGGCCAGACAGTTGGACATATCTGTTATTGGACAGGACTATCCAGTCAAATTTGTTATTCATAATGCCTGATTAATACTTGAATGTTGGTAGTTTAAAATTTTCTTGGTTTATTCATAATGCACAGATTCCCAGATTCATAAGTTATTCATTTTGGTAATGGTGTACTCCCATTGTATTGTATTACAGGTTGACAAAGAGTGTTGCAAGTTTAGAACAAAGAGGTTGGATCACGAGGAATTAATGCGTCGTGTTTTCACGGGGGCTGCGGCAACGAGAAAAAATGCTTGGACGCCTGGTGAGATGCGGAACCAACTGGAGGTGGAAGGGGAGTCTGATAGTGCAGACTTCTCTACGGACAGCAACGAATTGGGTGCCTCTGAAACTGCAAACATGATGAAATCTGCAAACATTACCGCATCCGGTAGTGGTAGCAAAATGAGGCACTCATCTGTCACAGCTGTGCAGAAGAAACGAATTACCGGGGCAGAAGCATTGGCAACAAGCATGGATGATTTGGTGAATTCAGTGAAGACACAAAGTAAGGAACTCACTGTTAACCATGTTGTCGGTGGACAAAGTGTCGCTATGGCCGAAGCTATACGACGTCTTTATGAAATTCAAGGACTTGAACAAACTAATCCACTGCTCCATTTCGGTATTTCCCTTATGGAGGTGCCCAATAATAGGGAGATGGTTATGAGTATTCCTTCCGATGAAGGCATTATCGGCTGGCTCCAGGTGAAGCAACAAGACAAAGAGAGGACGACAGCAGCTTCAACTCTTGCAAGCATATTGCGCAATCAAGGACTTCGTTTCTAACTATGCTGTGTGTTGGACTTGTTATGGGTTATGTGTTCGACTTCTTTTCACTTATGCGTTGGACTTCGCTTATATTTGCTAAAGGGCTGCGTTTTAATGAAATGCTTTGTGTTGGACTTCTTTTCGAACTTGTTTGTTATGTATTTGCTAATGACATGATGTTTTCAACTATGCTTTGTAAGGACAATTGGTAGGGAGATGGTTATGCTATTCCTTTTCTTTGCCTAGTTTTCTAATTATGGATGTGCATTGGTTGGGTATTGGCTATGGATTTTACAATTTTAAAATTTCAATAAACCATGAATCTGATTACACTCTTCCAATTTGCAGCTTCATAGTTATGTAAACAGTGGTTGTTATAAATCAGCTGTACTGGACCATTTCAACAAAAGCGTTGCTACTTGCAGAGAGACATGTCCAGTTTACTGAAGCCTTCAACTTAAAAATTGGAAGTTAGACCCGTTGTAAGGTACTAAACAAGCAAAATAATTTAAGTTATTATTTTTGTATATTTTAATTTAACATTGTGTTTTTGTATATCTCATTGCAATTTCTGTATTGCTTATTAGTCATAAAAGGAAAAAAAAATTTGCTTATTTATACATCAAGTAAATGTCTTGCAATGCTTATTAGTCATAAAAGGAAAAAAAAAATTTGCTTATTTATACATCAAGTAAATGTCTTCACGATTTCACCATTGTTAACAGAACTACTTTAATACAATAGAAGGTCTCAGAAGAACTTATGCAAATGAAATAAATTGATTATTTATGCTTCTGATTTTATTTGGAGTTATGTGATTTAGGCATGGAAAGCGATGATGACACCGATGCAGGAAATGTGTGATGATGTCGCGGCGCTCGCAATCGGGTGGCAGACTGGAATGAATAATAATTATGTTGAAGCGTACAGAATTGCCTCCGACTACTACAGGGCCCACGTGCTTAAAGTTCCATGTCGGACGTCCATCTTGACGGGGAGGGCATGGATTTTGGAATTGTATAATGGACACAGTGGCAGATTTCGCTATGAACTGTGCATGCCCAAAGTCGTTTTTACCCGTTTATGTGGCACACTAGTGAACGACTTCGGGTTGTATGTACTTGAGCGGGACCACGGCTTGCACGTTGAGGAGAGTGTTGCAATCTTCATTCACGTCCTAAAAAACTTGCCTAACCGCGAGCTTCAAGAAAGATTCCAACACTCCGGTGAAACAATATCACGCCATTTTCATAACGTTCTGAAAGCAATGAAAAAGTTTACCGTCGCGCACTGTCGGCCGCCCACAAATTTCCAAAACAGGAGGGATCCCCACCTGCAGACCCAACCACAGTATTTGCCGTTTAAGGTGCGAAAAAAATGCAACAATTCGAGGTTTTTTTCCGCAAATTCTACAAAGATGTGACTTCAAAAAATTGCGCGGCTATAATGCATGTCATCATGGTACTAATACGTTGCCTACTTGTTCGAATTGTGTAGGATTGTTTAGGTGCATTGGATGGGACACACGTGCCAGCGTGCATAAAGGAGTCGGAAGCAGCCCCGTATTTTAGCCGAAAGGGTTGCCACACTCAAAATATTTTAGCAGTGTGTGATTTCAATATGTGTTTCGTCTTTGTGTCATGTGGTTCGGAGGGTAGCATGCATGACAGCCAGATTTTAAACATTGTGACCGAGGATCCGCAATATAATTTCCCAACTGCAGTGGATGGTACGTACGCACAGTTTATTTGTTTAATGCCATAACTTGTTAAATTTTTTGGCCCACACGTGAAACAAAAATGTATTAATATGTACACATTCATAGGTCGCTATTATCTAGTAGATAGTGGATACAGTAACAAGAAGGGATTTCTCGCACCATCTAAGGGCAGCCACTATCACCAACCACACTTTCAACATCACAAGCCGAGGAATCGTGATGAGTTGTTCAACCGTGCCCACTCTTCATTGCGGAGTGTGATTGAGCGAACATTTGGCGCTTGGAAGTCGCGGTGGAGATTCTTGCACAATATGCCTTGGTTTGACTTTCGTAGAGTCCAGGTGCCGTTGGTGGCTGCATCTATGGCATTACACAATTTCATACGCAGAAACTGCGAGGATGATGCGACCATTGCTGCTGTCAGAAATGCGGCGGACTACACGTATGCTGATATTCCCGATCGCGCAGATTTGGCTGCCCTGCAGGAACCCGTGGTGGCTACGGACGAGGACGTTGAAATGGCGGAGGTGCATCATCGGATAAGGGCTGAGTTATACCAAATTCGGCGCAATGGTAGGTAGTCGGACAGTGTTGTTTACCATGAGTGCTTTTAAATGTTTTCCGTAGTATGTGTTTTGTGAAAACGGTCACTAATGTCTTGTTTTGTACTTTTGTATGCATAACGTACAAAACTGTTTAGATATTTGAAGATGTACGAATTTGTAAAAAAAAACTTTCGAAATCGTCGTACTTTGCATGCATGTATGGTTAATGCAAAATTCCTATTTCACAGATTGTCATAACGAATTTCGGCACAGATATTACATGCATTAACTGTAAAGTCTATAATTGTGCCCAAATACATCACGTAAAAAACATGGCACAAAATTGTCTTCAACCAACTAAAATAAAAATCAGTATTTCAGAAATACAATAAAAAAAATAATGTATTTGATCACGATTTCAAATCAACTACTTTCAATATTGCAAATTCACAATAATTAAAATGTTATTTTCCAAGTTTCATCTATAACACCACAAACATTACCAACGAAAGTGTCAATGTTATTCATTACGAAATTTGTTTTCGAAAATGTTGTGGACATCAAAGAAATTACCATGTCTGTGGAACGGACACCTATGTCAAATTTAAAAAAAAAAAAAATTGAAAATTTACCAAGTTTACAAAATTGTGAATTTTTGAAAGTATGGGTGTGTGTGATTTGGTTTTGGGAGATAAATTTATAAAAAAAAGAAAAAAAATATTGGGGCAAGCATTGACAAAAGTTTTTAGTTTGCTTGGTTGTATATTTTGGAAATGGTTTCCCAGTGTGGGAATTTAAAAAGATTGTATATATGGGATCACACACATTGTAATTGTCCAAAAAATAATTAAAAAAATAATTGAATGAAAAATTTAATTGGACAAAAATAATTGGGTAAAAAACTAATTCGAAAAACTTTGAAAAAGAAATGGAAATTATTAAAAAATTAATTTAAAAATATTAGTTGAGAAAAAAATATTTGATCGAAAAGGTTAATTGGAAAAAAAAATTAATTGAAAAAAAAATTGAAAAAAAAATTATTTGAGGAAAACATTACTTGAAAACAAATTTTGAAAATAAATTACATTTGATAAAAAAATTAATTGAAAAAAATTGATAACTAAAAACGTTTCCCCATTTTTTTGATTTAGGTTTTTTGTAAAATTTTTAAACTCATTTTCAACCAAAAAAATTATCAAACAAATTTTTATTACAATCTGTTAATTTTTTTTAAATATAAATTGAAAACGGAATGGATGTCTGTTTACGATGGGTGGTGGGTAACAAGTGGTGGTGGCAGGTGGATGGCACGTGGGTGGTGGGTGATGGTCGTGGTGGTGGTGGCGGGTGGTGATGCTGGGTGGGTGGGTGACGGTGGTAGGTGGTGGCGGGTGGTGGCGAGTGGGTGGATAGGTGGGTGACGATGGCGGGTGGTGGGTGGTAGCAAGTGGGTGGTGGTGGTGGGTACTGGTGGCAGATGGGTGGTACGTGGGTAGTGGGTGATGGTGGTGGTGGTGGGTGGTGGTGGAAGGTGGTGGGTGGTAGCAAGTGGGTGGTGGTGGGTGGTGGTGGTGGCGAGGTAATTTCTGTCATTAAATGCAAATATAATTAACCTCAGTAATATATATGTCAAAATGTATCAATTTATTTTCTATCATTGTATTTCCATTATAAATTTGATTTATGTTACCATTGTAATGAGGTGGGTGGGTGGTGGTGGCGAGTGGGTGGGTGGTGGCTGGTGGATGGTGGTGGCGGGTGGTGGCTGGTAGTAGCAGGTGGGTGGTGAGTGGTGGTGGCAGGTGGTGGTAGAGGGTGGGTGGTGGGTGGTGGCGGCGGAAGACGGTGGTAGAAAATGGTTGCGGGTGGTGGCTAGTGTTGGGTGAAAAAAAAGAAAAATTCAAAACTCAAAACGGATACGCATTTTTGAAGTTTACATTTTGTGGCCAAATTTATAAACAGAGACCACTGATTTATGTAATTGAAATTTACCAAACAAGTTTATATTTGAGTTGTTTAAATTTTGTAAATATAATTAGAAAATTGAAAACTTATGTGTTACAAAACGGCACACCAAACAGACCCTTTGTGTTTGGGAAGATAGTTGATTTTTTTTGTGATTGGATGTGATATTTGTGACAAAAAAATTGAAATAGTATGGGATTTGATATGATATTTTGTGAGGGATTTGTTTTTTGGGGTTTTGAAAGACATTTTTGTTGTACTGGAAAAATAAAAAAATAAAAAAATTGAAAAGCCAAGTTCCCAAACACTCCCATAATTTGTTGGATTTTTAAAAAAAAAATTAAACATTTTTTTATTTTTAACGTAAAATGTAATGTTTCATAACAAATTATTACAATACACAAAGAACAATCCATATCCCATATACATAAAATGGTTATGTATATGAACGTAAATATTATTTACATAATATTACGTGACACGTGTACAATTCTGTAAAAGAAATAAAGTTTGACCGTTCCTCGTTTGGCGAAATGCATTGTATTATTTACTAACATTACAGCACACAACCCTCCTATTGCGTTGTCCAAAGAAAGCAAATTCACATCCAACACTTTGCAGAGGTCACTGACACATACACAGGTACGCTGACATGCTATAAGGCCATTTCGGTTATTTTACCCCCTTCTCATTATTTATCTTATTTTATTTCACATATTTTCGTAAAAAGTCAAAAAATTTATCCCAAACAACTAAGTTTTTTTTTCTTCACATTTTAGTCAAAAAATTAAAAAATTACTAAAATAGTCTGTTCCAAAGGCCTATAGATGAACTTCTATACCCTCATTAAAGGTTGCACCACTTATCAACTGGTGACATCTGACATTAACATTCTCAATATCAACAATGATAAGCCTCTGTTTGGATATTAGACTTTTGGGAGAATTATAAAAGAAAAAAAAAAAATCATCAAGGAAAAACATTGAAAAAGAAAATGAGATAGAATCGACTTTTTCCTTCCTTA